CCATGAGCACAGGGCGACCGAAAACACACTTCCTTGCAGTATTTTCATTTCAGGCACTTATAACATGAAGTGTACTATTCAAAAAAATAATACAAAGAAGCTTCTTTCATATTTCACTGTGGTTTTGGAGAGGGACTTCTTTCTTTTTGGCAGGGTTGATCCAAAAAGTGAGAAGCAGGTGGTGGTAGCATTGCAGGATTAATAGATGGTGATATAGCCTAGCATTCAGTCATGCTCTTTTTCACAGAGCTAACCTGTTTAGCAAGAACATCTGTTTCTTTGGTCATCAGCTCTGACTGGTTTTGTTAGGTTCTTTTAAAGTTTTGAACATGCTAGACGAGCTTCCTGTGCGTTGCCATTTCAAGTCAGTCACTCAAATCTTGTCGGATAAAACTTGTTATTCTCGAGCTTTTTTTAGGCAGGCGATTTAGACGCCGACAAATGTGGAAGCAGGGTATAACAAGCAGATTAATATTATCTGGACTTGAGTTTGTATAGGTCAACGAGAGTAATAACGTAACAAATAAGCACCTAGTAGGATATAGTGACCTCAGAACTGCATATGATTTTGTATCGCTCCTGTTAATCTCCAGACATAGGCTGGGAACGGGGAGACTTCTGTGGAACTTGCTGCAGAGAAATCAGGCTTTTGCAATTATTGGTTGGAAAGAAGTCTCCTTAGTCTTAAATATGGAAGACAATAAGTAGAATAATGCAATACAAGTAACGAAAAGGACTTTATATTGCTGTAAAACAGATGCAGATATTGATAGCAAATGAGAGAAAAAGGAAATAGTTTATATTTGAGGTTTTGAAGTTTTCCCTTAGAGATCATTAAGAGGTGGCTAGTCTGTCATGGAGGAAAACTCTTATTTTAGCCTCTGAAATTTAGGGAGATTCCAAAGAAGGTCTTGGGGCATAAGCCTGTGTGAACACGAGCTTAGTACAGGAGGAACACTGTCCTAGACCAACGCTCACTTATTATCTTATCACTAATGTAACACTATCTTAAATTAAGGCAAGGAAAAATATTTATTTTGCTGCTGTGGTCAAGCTTGTTTTTCTAACCTTGCTAATGGAAAGTCCCTGAAATTCTCTCTCTCCTGATGCTTCCTGTTCTATCTTCTGTTAGCTTATCTTAGCATGAGTAATGTCAAAGATGAGGTCTACAATATCTTTGGGAAGCAAGTATCCCTTGAGTAAGAAGAGTCCAGACTTGAGCTCTCCTCTCTTACAAAGTTTTGCGAAGAAATTGTTTGAGCAAATGTGTTATAAATGGAAAAAGCCACATTTTAAAATCATCTTTATTTACATTTAGGGTCGTCCAGTAGCCGTCATCCAAACCAGGTGACTCCAAAGAAAAGCGGCCTGAAAAACGGGCAGATGAAGAGCAAAGATGATGAGTGCTTTGGGGATGACATTGACGAAATCCCAGACACGGATTTTGATTTTGAAGGGAACCTGGCCCTTTTTGACAAGGCAGCTGTGTTTGAAGAGATTGAAACTTATGAGAGGAGGAGTGGCACTCGTTCCCGTGGTACCCCAAATGAAAAACCAGCTCGTTATCGGCACGATGAGAACATCTTGGAATCGGAGCCTATAGTCTACAGAAGGATTGTTGTACCCCAGAACGCTAACAAAGAATTCTGCACCGGTATGCCAGATCCCTTACTGATAAGGATGCAATGTCAGCAACTTTTCTGAGCACGTATGTTGGATGGTTTTCCCCAAAGGAGGGGGGGGGGGGGGGGGTGGGGGGACAAGCAAGGGCATTCATTTATGAGAGATTGGATCTGTGCCTTGTATCTACGTGCAACTCTGCAGTATTTTAGAGATCAAAAATATTTAGATGGGGCAGCAAGGTAAGTTTTTCTTGCGGTAGGAAACAAAACTGTAAGTTGGATAAAAACGGAAACTGAACATGAACCGTTTGAATCCTTGTATTGATTTCAGTAGCGTGACGAACCTGCCTGACGTCAATCACTGGCTCTTGAGGATTCTGGTACATCAGAGCAAGTCATGTCATGATTTGTGCTCTCTTGTTAAGAGGCGGGAGAGCTTCTGATGTTGCTTCGATAGTGTTTATGTATTTCTGTGTGCTTTTAAAGAATTTTACCTGTCATTGGTATAAAACAAAACAATTTTGGCCCTTGTGATCCATAATTCTAAAAATCCATGTATAAATGTCTTCTTATTCCCCTCCCACCCCTGTTTCAGACTTGCTCTCCTCTGTTGCTGTGTGACAGATCCAGAACCCCAGAGAGCTGAATGAACGCAACGTTAACTTGGGCTTAAAGAATGTATTCGGAGAGCAAGTTGGATCTGCCCCTCCTTTGCTTTACTTTAGTCTTAATAGTAAATAAAAGGAAAGAAACTTTCAGGCGGGTGTTTGAGGTGAAGTATTCATCAAGTGTTTCATGAGGGGAAGCTAGCGTAGGCCCTGGATGCTAGCTGCTGTGCAAACGTTCTCTTGCAATTCTGATTTCTGGTCCTGTCTGCCGCTAGGTAGGCTGTCGGACTGAGGGGAAGGTAGCACGATGGGTCAGTGAGCTGTCTGGCTGCAGGGAGGCAGCGGTCTAAATATCTAAATCTGGAGAATACTCAGCTATCTAATCCATGCCTCTGGGGCAACGGTAGTAGTTGTTCCTTATTACATGTTCACCTAGTACTTTTTGGCTTCTTTTTAAAGAGCGAGTAATGGTGCTTTCACCAAGAGCCGGTTCTGTAAGGCAAGGGAGGGATTTTGCTAGTAGGAGGCTTTATTACATGTTAACACACACACTTGCACAGTGCTATATATACCTTATGGCTATACTTAGCTACAAATTCCCTGTAACCTTAGCATAGTTCTGGTGTCTTTTCTGCATGCTTTTTAGCACTTGCAAAATGTAGGAGTAAAGGAACTTTGGCATTTCAGGAACATTACTTTTCCACGTGAGAATAAAATCAAATTTCAAATCTCTTTGTGGAAAAGATGGAGAGGCACCAAAATGACTAATATCCTGGTGGTCTGGCTGCTCACTGACGATGTGGTCGAGTCCTTGATCTGTTTCTTCTTTCTCTGCCCAGAAATTCCATCTGGGATGTGAAACACTCTGCTGAAGGCAGCTTATACATTCATAATGACTTGCTGCTTTTCAGTTTAAAAAAAGTCAATTTTGTAATGGTTCCACTATACAGCAATTAGTTTAATCTTCTGCTTGTCGTCCATCTTCCTATTGATCAGGTCTGTTCTTGAATGAGCTAAAAACATAGCGTGTCATATCAAAACTCTGTCTAGAGCTCAGTATCGTGTTTCCAGCCATCAGCAGCTGACTCATAGAGGCAAGTAAAAGGACAAGGTAAACGTGGAGCGAGCGCACTCTGTCTGTGGCAATTTTAAGGCTTCCTGAAGCAGAAGTAATAGTTTAGTATTAATAGCTTTTGATTAATTTATTTTCTTCCATTAATTTGACCTATTGCTTCTTAAACCTATGCAGGCTTTCACTATTTCTACAGTGTCCTGTGGCAAGAAGCTGCAGAGACTGACTGCGTGCTCTGTGAATAAGTACTTCTTCCTGTTTTGTTTTGTTTTTTAATTTGCTACTTGTCAATTCATCTTCCAGCTGGCTTGTTTGAGAGGAGACAGGGGCCTCTGTGGATGTCTAGTCTGAAACAAAAGCAAACCTATTGTTAGCTGCCAATTTGAAAAGTGTGGCTAATACGATATTCTAGGTAGTACAGTTCTTGGGAGGAAAATTCTGTCATGCAGTAGCTAGCAAGCATCAGTAAGTAAATTCAGGAGATGCAAACGAAATCATGTTTGCTAAAACTTGATCGTTCTTTACTCTGGAAAATCTCGGCTCCCTGTTAACAGTATGCCGGAGCCGACCAGTGAAAGGACTGCTCTTTTCTTGTTTTGTTCTTGGCAAGCCTGTACGGGGAGGGTGGGAGATGGTTCTTCTCTGTAGTTGCAGGGTCTCTCTAGCCTCATTAGTTCCTGCTTGGTGATTAGTCTCCCATATGGAATTCTGGATTTGTTTGGAAGAAAAGCTGTTGTGTTACACAATGGGCAGGGTATGGACATCTACAATTCCCTGTCGCCTGTGCTGAGCAGGGCACGTTCGCAGTCCTGGGAATGATAATAGAAGTGTCCCACTGCTGTGTATATCTAGGTTTTTTTCCCACAGAGGGTGACTTCCTTTGTGTCAGTGGAGGAAGTTTACTTTTGCTTAGGAAAGGCAAATGGCTATCTAGCAAAAGCTCTTGTAAACAGTCGTAATTTGACTGCTGTTTCTGGCATTCAGTCTAGCTCTTTTCATAGCAAGTCAGCACTCAAAAGGACAGAAGTATATTCGGTGCTCTTGGTCTGCCGAGATTAACTGAGAGTGCCGATGGCCCTGAAAGCCGTTATTTTGGATATTTGGATATCTGTGATAGGATTTCTCTTTCAGCTTCTGAATTCTCTCTAGGGCGTTGTATCTGGCCTCCTAAGGGGAGCGCTACTTGCAGAAAGCACTTTCTAGAAGAAATAAGTACTTCATAATTCTTCTCCCTAGGTCTATCTTGAAGATGGCTGTCTTAAGAGCTCTGAGCGATACAGTAATTATTCTGTCTGCTCTAACGAGAACACGAACAAAATGGTCCTGGTGATTGACAGTGAGCTAATACCCAGCTCTTGTCATTGTGGGAGAGGAAAAGGTCTGTGAGTCCTCAGGGGAGATATATATAAAATATGTATGTATATTTAAATGCTGTGCTTCTTTGAGGTAGGAAGTTACTAGAATTGTGCAAATAGTGGCAAAATCAGCACACTGGTGATGCCGGTTCTCTGAAAGACTGATCTTGCAGGGCTTCTAGTCTGTATTTTTATTACTTGCTGAAGTAAGCTGATCTAGGTAGGATGTATGCAAGGCTTGATAAATGGCTCTTAGAAAAACATCCTCATGGACTGAAGTAATTTTATGAGGCCAGGCCATCAAGTATGTATACTGGCATATGTTTTACAAGAAGTAGAACAGTAAGTCAGTAGATCTTTTGAAGCCTTTGGTTCAAATTCAGCAATTGAGGTTGGATAAAAGTGTCTTGTGTTCATATTTCTTTGAATCTCTTTGTAGTCGTGCTTTCCCACTCTGAAAAAGCTTAACGTGATTATCCTGTATCTCCAAAGGCTTGCAGTTTAACTAGTTTTCCTCAGCAAACAAGAACTTTTTTGGAAAGGAGGCTACAAACAGCTTTCTTTGGCTACTGCTCTTTTGCGATACTTTGTGCACTGAATAATCCCTGAAATGTTACGGGCTGCTCGGTCCTTTCTCTCTGTTGTACCGTCTTCGGGTACAACAAACAAGCGATGTGTTTTCCTTTGTTGCTTTAGTCCTTTGTGTGTCCTATAAATGACTGAGAGACCAGAAATGGTCAAACAGTAGTCTGAGCAAGAAGTTGGCTTTCCTTGCTACTTCTGGCTTTCCTTGCAGGAAGAACAGCATCTTTTTCCTCAAGAAACTCCTCAAGAATGGGCAAGAGAAGGGCTAACGTGGATTCCTGGTTCGGTGCAACTCAAACTTCACTAGTGCATTTACAGCTAAACAGCTGTTCCCAAAATGCAGAATGTTTTGGGATTTGTTCAAACATAGGTCTGCTGAATTGACTTTAGAAGTTATACTGGGATAGAGGTAAGGGGGAGTAAGTGTGATAGGGGCAAGGTGGGGCAGGATGTCTGATACGTGACCTGGAGGTGAAGGGAAAGTATTACAGTAGAGAAGGAGAATAAAGCTGAGGATCTCTTCCAGACAAAAATGAAGCCCTGGTGCCAATAGTGCTTATCATGGTTTTGGTCATGACTGACTTGACTCTGTCCCTGGAGCTTCACGTGTGGATTACTCCCAAATATATAGTTAGTCTTTGCTCCTTTGGGCTGGCTGCTGTTGATCTGTCTCTATTTCCCGTTACGTGATGCTTGAAAAGGAAAATGCAAGCGTTTAACCAAAATCTCCCTCCCTGATCCTTTATCCTTTTTATGAGGTGTGAGCTGTCGTCTTCTACTTCCAGAGCTGTCCAGCTAGAGAACTGATGTGTGTGGTGGCATGGATCTGACTCTGTTCCTTCTTTTGACTATCAACATTGAAACTATTTGCATTTAAATAACAATGTTTTGTGATCAGGTCTTTTAGCAGTAGCCTCAAAGCAAGTGTTTTGCATATATGTTAGAGGCTTAGAGAAGTTTGCTGTAGATTGGAATATCTCAGCTCATCGGCAGCAGCTCTGTGTAATCTCAAGCATATCAGGCTGTCCAAATGGTTCCTACTGCAGTTCTTTCTCTTCTGTCCTCTTAAACTTTCGTTTAATCATTGTTAGCACATACCACACGCATATCATGTGTTCTGATTCATGATGATTAAACTGGATTAAAATCTCCTTTGTCTGGACTGTGACCGTAGGACCGGACTGAAATTCTCATATGCCAGGATACTTCAACTTCCCGTGTTGCCACGTGGTGTAAGGGGTGAAGATGCATGCAGTAGGCTTGTCTGTGTATCTGAATAGCCCAGCTTTTTGAGCAGCGGTATCAGCCGAGATAGTGTCTTTATAAGCACGCTGAGATGAGTAAAGAGGAGAGCTGTATGCTAGATAGAGCAGTCCGTCCTTTCCCTGCTGTACTGGTAAGGCTTTGCTCAA